ACATGCTTAAATGGAAATGGCTTGCCCTTGGAAGCGGCCATCTCCTTGTACCTCATGCCGGCAATTGTCTCCTATCAACCACACATAAATCACATAAGAACCTACCAATATCATCTATCACTTGGTCCATGGCACACACATAATCAAAATAGTGAAGAAATATGTACTCACATAGTCACTCTCCACGGTTCCACTAGGTGGTGCATCTCTCACTTGGTCCATGGCCGCACTCCAACGAGAACAAGCGGGCTTGATCAACTCCCACCGGCCTTGAAGCGACCGGAAAGAGCGATGGATGAACCCACTATTCTTCGGCTTGATCTTACAATAGACGTCCTCGATCCTTTGCCAATACCATTTACCGGTTTGATCGGTGCCGGTGGTTGCATCCATTCCCACAGCTGCCCAAGCACGAACCAAGAGGACATCTTCCGCCTCGGTGTAGTTTGTCGACCGCGCGTGTGGGCGGGAAGCGGCGGTGAATGCCTCCTCCCCTATCTCGGCCACCTCCTCCTCGTCATCCCTCACCTCCTCCTCATCTTCCTCCTTCTCCTCCAAGTCGTCACCAACCCTAAAGGGGTCTAGAGGCGAAGCTCCGAGGTCCACCTCCGCGTTTTGGAGGAGGTCCATGAACGAGGATGGGTTTGCCATTTCCTCGAACACCTCGTGCGCAGCAGGAGGAGGTTCGGTGACGGCGGCCGCCGCGGGCTTCTTCCGCGCCGCGGGCTTCTTCCGCGGCTTGGTCACGGACGGGGACGAGCCGGCGACCTTGGAGGCCGCCCCTCGCGGCCCATGAGAGGCCGCCTTCGGCCGGCTCTTCTTGGTAGCCGGGGCGGGCGGCGAGGGCGGGAGCCAGTGCGGCGAGGCGGTCGGGGCGGCAGGAGGTGGTGCGAGGCCCGCCCGCCGCCGCTTGGCCCCGACGTGGGTCACCGCCACCACGTCGGCGACGGTCGGTTGGGCGGGCGCCGGGGCGGGCGACGCGGGCGGGAGCGGCGGCCGCAGCGGGCGGGGGCTTCCATGGCCGGCGCGGCAGCAGGCGGCGGGACGCGGGCGGGAGGAGGAGCGGTTGGCTCCCGCGCGAGCTCGGAGCGAGCGACGAGGAGGAGTGCGGGTTGGGGGGAGATTTTCCCCTCAACCCCTACTTCTACAGATTGCAAATTGGTTTGAGGGTTGGACCTCTAAATTTTTTTACGGGTTTGAGGGTTTAGAGGTTCTAGTCTACGGCGTTTTTTCGGCGAAAACTGTAAAAAGCGGTTATTTTTAGGGGTTTGAGGGTTTGAGGGCTCTACTAGTAATGCTCTAACCCAATGACCATGACACAAAACCTCAATAGTCTCTCTTCTCTCGGCTCGGCGTAAGCTGAGAAATTTACTATTTTTTCCCGTCTTAGGACCTCTCCAATATGGATCCTTAAATTGTCCGAACCGAGCGGTTTGGACACAATTTGCCATCAACGTGATATTTCATCGGTATGCGGACCCGTCTGGAAGTCCATTTTTCCATAATCCGAAGGCAAAACCAAAGGGCTTTATGGGCGTCCAGACCGCTGTCAGGCACGCGTCAGACACCCGGACTCACCCAAAGACCTCTCCTGCGCCTGCGCCCTCCCCTGCCCAGAGCGGTTGCCGCACATTCATGTCGCTCAACGCCACTCCAGAGTGCTAGGACTGTATTCATGCCGGTGCAGAGCGGACACATGTTGGAAATATGCCTTAGAGGCAATAATATTTGAGTATTGTTTATTTCTAGCTTCAAAATTAATATTTATATCTATGATATAATTGATATCTCGAATATGCGATTCAGACGAAAACTCATGAGCACGTGTAGAACTATAAAACAGTAAAACACGATTCCTAGTCTTGCCTCTAGGACTAGCTCAAAGTGTAGACTGATGGTTCTGTTTTCCTGATCATGGACAAGACCATAATGCCGACAACATTTGAGAGCATGATATTGGAAGAACACTCGTGTTGAATTGATCCAAGTTCTTCGTTATACTTAGAGATTACATTGCCTGCGGTCTATACTACATAACAGGGAAGTTAATGCATGCATGATTCCTTAGAGAATGAGAGTATCGAGTCACTCCATACCGGACGGTGCGCTTTGGGGTTGTTCCAACGTCATCCATAACAAGATGATCATAACGACAACTTATATGTTCATCGAAAACATATGACGAGGGACTAGATAGCTCGAGACTGGGATTTGCTCTTTTGACGATGGAGAGATATTTTTAGGACTCTCTCGGTGTGACGGCGTCCACAATCAACTGTCCATACACAACGTGAATTTGATCACGGGGATGCCGGACACGAGAACAACAAAAGAGAACCAAACCGGTAATGAGGAGACCGGTATAGTGAGCATGAGCTTGACTCGTGGGGATACCGATACATCTCACCTCAGATTTTGTAGAGTATTGTCAAGCAAAAGGAATAACATATTTTTTCAAAATGGAAGCAAAAAAGGTTCGCCTTATCCATTAATTAAGCAGAAGAGAGTTGCCCAGTTAAGTTAAGTGGGGGAAAACCAGGCAAAAACTAATACATCAAGGGTCAAATCCATTATTGAATACCAAAGGACACGATGTCAATCCACTCTCATCGACAACATGTCGAACAAGACAAGAAACACCCACCACACATACATAAGCAACGGGAACCCCGCTCCACCAAACAAGCGAGCCTTCTACCAGTGCCGTAAAGAAGAATCTGTGACTACAATGAGAGAAGTAGCAACGGGACTCCCACAGAAATGAAGCGCATGCACTCCACAGGTCCTGCGCCAATTGCATCATCTGGCATTGCTCACTTAAATATCATTTGTGTGAGTATATATAGGGGTCAATATGGCTGCCCACGGTTTCGATATTGATTTTTGAATGAAAGGTGTTTTTGTTCATGTATATATTTCACCGAACCTGTAGAGTCACACGCTTAAGGGATTATGATATGTTGAGTTCCATTGGAGTTAGGAAAATATGAAAAAATATTACCGAAAATGTTTCGGGCATAAAAGAATTTGTTTCGATAGAAAACGGAAGCGTTTCGGAATATTGAGTAATACCGGATCGATGAAACATACACTTGAGGACCTAATAATAATATAGGAGGGCTACATTATTTACCGGAGCACCCCGGGATTATTCTACGCACCATGAGCTGCTCAAATAGGCTATAGCCTATTAAGGGGCAGCCACCTGGTCCTAGAGGCCCAATAAGGAGGTGGCGCCCCCTATGGCTTGTTGGGCAAGCTAAGGGGGCATGGGAGTTGGAGGAGAACTCCTCCAACTTGGCTAACGCCGGGTTACATCACATGAAGAAAGCCTAGGAGTTGGCGAGTATGAAACTTGGCTAGGCCATTTTTCTGAGTTTGTTGTAAAATCTGTAGCTGACAATTTAGGTAGCCTAACTTTTTAATGGAATACAATGTTGTTTCTATAAAAACACCTCAAGGAAGGAGTTCCCCTCCTCCAAGTCGGCTAGCCCCCCTCCTTCAGATGGGTGTGGGGTGTCAGCGCCTATGTGAAGGACAGTCAAGACATCCCACTTCTCGCTTCATTTCACACTAGAGTTGGAGATTCCATACAATTTAGTTAATTGTAGGAGATTTAGGAGAATCCCTTGGATAGTTAAGATGCCTTTACTTTTGGGTACCTTGTGATGGTTTTTCTACA